AATAACCTTCACACACACACACACACATACACGATGGACCATAATAAATGCATTAATAGAGATGATGATACTATACGGATGTTGATTTATTGCTGATAACTGTCAAGATTAATAATAACAATAATAATAATAATGACAATGACTTATTTTCAGAGTGAAGTTAATTGAAACTGGTCTGCAGACAGTTGGGGCTCAGACAGTCTCTCGGTGGTGAACTTATGGAAGGAAACTAGTGTCTTATCTCTCTTCAGGCCTTCATTTTTGACCCGGAGCGGCCCGCACTGCTGGCCGCCGGTCTGTCTCAACATTTCTTCATTCTGGCTTCTTCAGATCTCTGCCTGCTTTCTCTCTCACAGCCTTTCCTTTTGACACTTTTGTACTTAACAGATATTTTTCGATGATGCTGTCAATGAGGCCTGCACTTTTCTACTCCTTATTTTAATGTTCATTAGAGAACTGTTCCAACAAACCCCTCTCTTTCTCTCTCTCTTTGCTCTCACTCATGCTGTTGTCTGTGACATGAAGCGGCGGGGTTGCTATTTTTCTGTAAGCGTAGGACTTTTTTAAAGGTGGGCATGTAGTCGGGCACCTAGCAGAACAATACACCCAAGGGACCTCTTAAGGATGAATTCCTGTTTCTCGTTGCCACACAAAAATTAGCCATCAGTAATGCCAAATGAGCGCTCTCAAATTCTTGATCAAATTCAATAACATGGCAGGTGACTTTGGACGAGCGTGCCCCGCATTGTGAATGTGGCAGCTGCATTGATTGACATTAACTATCCCTCAATAAGTGAGAAACGCACCATTAGCGGTCCTGAAGGAATGTGAGGTCAGTTTTCTGTACGTTCTGGCTGCCTGACAATCCCTTTACATCTCTATCTCTTACTCGTGCGTGTGTGTGTGTGTGTGTGTGTGTGTGAGAGAGTAATGCCCACTCATGCTGTTTGTTACATCGGCATCATCGTGTGTCTTTACCATGAGACGCTCTGGTTTCTGTCCTGCTGCCCCTCTCCTTCACTCTCAGTCTTATAGGGAAGGCGATGCTCTGATCCACCCACACCAGGACATCCCCCCCCACACACACACACTCTTGTCTGTTACACTTAGATCAGCTCATTTTAGTGTTTTCTACAAGTTTTTTTGTTTTTGTTTTTTTGACTCTTGACTGTCAAGTGTGTGGCTAACAGACATATTTTGAAACTCTAGGATAAGATAGGGCTTTTCTGATGTCACACGTGAATGTTTTGGTTAATAAGGTTAAGGAGAGATGGCCACTCCTCCCACACGAAACAATAACAAGGGGCTCAATTTAACCTTTTTTCATGCACTGTAACTCCCGGCCCCTCTAAAAAGGTGAAAAAAGAAAAAAAAGAAACAGTTCTTACTGTTTTTTGTTTTGGTAGTTTTGGTCTTCCACCCCACTCTCACAGCAAAGCTGTATGGCACTCTCTCAGATGACACACTGTCATACCCGTACACAGCTGTACTCCTGGATAAACGTAGTGCACTATATGGTTAGTCGTTTGAGATTCGTCCTATGTTTCCGAGCATTACTGAGTGACTCTCGACGTGGCGGTTGAATCCTGTTTAGTGTTTGTGTTTTAATTCAGTGTGAGTTTGCAGTAACTGCCTCCTGTAGTGTTAATACAGTTTGTATGATTTTTGGGCGACGTTGATGCGATGGTACACGGTTGCCATTAGTGGCCCCTTTCTTTTTTTCCCAAACATACATGGAATCAGCTCATAGAATGAGACAAGCCATGACAACAGAATTAAAACCACACAGCTAATTCTCAAAGGGCTTCCTCTGACTGCACAGACACACGATCACATTTTCAGGCTCCTGCAGTAGGTAGAATCAACTTATCCTTTATGGCAGCTAGTAGCTAGGTCATCCAGGGCTTCCAGACACTCCTTGTGTTCAAATCCCAGCAGCTGCAGAATGTTTTGCTTGTTGTTTTTAAATTATTTTCTAATTGTCCCTACACAGCCATCACATGCGGATCCTGTTAGAGCGTAGTTGTCGCAGTGTGTCCTCCCTGGACGTAGTCGCAGATAAGGACAAGGCTGTACGGTTTTAATATCAAGGAAAAAAGGGTAACTCTACTTGAGTAAATAATGGGTGAATATGGGCAGTTGCTGCTGTGCTTTGGTGCTCCAGCCAGTTTAATGTTGAACTTATTTGCTGTCTGACTGTTTGTTTGCTACTTAGGTGATGAGGGCAGTAGCTCCACAGAGGAATCTAATAAGCCGCTGTCCTGGTTGAGCGCAGCAGTGCACTGATTTATGTGTCCACACATGTAGGAAAAAAAAAAAACCTGCCCCAGGAGCTGAACCCGGTAGTCTTTGTGAAGACTATCCCATGGTGCTTTGGTGCAACTCCCTACTGAAACATGGCGATGAACAAACCCAGTTGGTAGCGGGGGAGGCCTCTTTTTAGTTCTCTAGCGCACCGCAGACCCTGTTCTCACTCTGGTCGACACAGGCAGCCCATCCCCTCGCCGGGCTCCGATGTCAAACGTTGCATTTTTTTTGCGTCTCGTACTCGCGCCACACTCAGAACAGATGCAGGGCTGCGAATGTGTCCGAATGAACAGATCAGTCGTGACTGTTGTGTGAGTCTGAGGCCAATCTTTTAAAGCCCTTCTTCGAGTGGTCCCAGGTTGACATGTTTAAAGGAATAAAATGTGTTGTGTTTGCCAGATGGGTCTAATGTAAATCCCCGTGTTGCACCGGGATGTTTCTGGTCAATGAGAGAATGTTAGGGTTTAATGTACAGTAGTTTAATTGTTAAAAAGGTACAAATTTTTTCAGATTGACTGCTGAGTTTTATTTTTTTTTTTAGCCAAACTTATCCCCTCCCCCATTTCCTTCCTAAAAGGTTTGAAAACAGGGTTTCCTGAGGCATGCTAGCCAGTGACCTCTGACCTTTTTTGTGATTAGGGGGGGGGGGGTTGCGAAGAGAGCCACGCCAGTAAGGGGTGACAAACACCCCTCAAGCCTGCGCTCTCCTATTTTTTGCTTTAATTCTCTTTGTATGCAGAACCAAAATGTAAAACGTCAGCAAACTAGGTTTCAGGCCTGACCTGTGTGTGTATATACCCGGAATACAATCATTGGGATCTTGTTTTCAAAAGCAAAATGACTTAATTGAAGATAAGTGTAGTTTCTAAAGAACATGTATCATTATTTGTAAGTTAACCATCTGCATGTCTTCAAGCCACCTGGCATTAGCTAATAATTTTTAAGATAAAAAAAAAACTTTTTACACATTTTATTTTTTACAATTTATTTGCTTACCTAAATATCCCAGACAATAATGTGACCCTTTTTATTACTTCAAATTTATTTTTATTTTCCATTTTTTTATTTTCCTTATTTTCTGTGTACTACATATAGGCAATTTATAACAAAATGAGAAAATTATTGAAGAAATTTTAAAATTGAAATATATTTTATTTGAAAGTTTATGGACCTTTTAACCGTGAGCTGGAAAAATTGTATAATCATATAATTTGAGCTGACTTGACGGTTATGAGAAATGTATCAAGAGTTTTATTTTTTATGCTTCTTTAATAAAGTCTTGTTTTTGGTTTCATTTTTTTACTGTAAAATAAGATCTTGTGTGTTGTGTCTTTATTTCTGTTCTGTGCAGAGTAGAAACATACAGCCGTGTACCACATGGTGGCAGTATAGACACACCTGCAGCAGATAAAGGCATGAATAATGGTGAGGCGTGAAATCTGCAGTTTAGACATGTTTGTTAGTGAGTCTGAGACTAGACATCAGTTCATTCTTTAGAAAATGTATTCATATTGGGATGAGCCTGAATCTTATATGTAAATATCAGAAGTTTCACTGAAGTTAGTCAACAGAGAATTAAACTATTGTAATTAACGTGCTGAAGTCCCTTATGAAGCAAAAGTGTTTTTATAAAGCAAATTAAAGATTCTCAAATGGGAGGATTTGCTTCTTCTGTTTTATATCATTAATTAAATACATTAAGACTGCTGCACTGGCAAAAAGATGTAAATTTGGACATTTTATAAACTGAAATAGTGCTGAGATGAGTCCACAGCGAATTCATTGGCAACAATAATCATTTTTCAAGCAACTGTATCATATCCTTAAAGGTTCCACCTCCTCAAAAGTTAATATTTTAGGCGTTTCCTTGCCTTATATTGTTGGTTGGATTTATACAAAAGATGTCAAAGTGGTATCTAAGAAACTGACAAATGTCACTGTTTTCTGTCAGTTTATAGTCTAAATGATTATTTTGATAATGAATCATTAGTTGGAACCCAAATCCGATGTAGGATCAGCAGCAGCATGTATGATTGTCTGTATAGCTCACTGTGTTCACAAGACCTTCCTTCTTAAACCTCCAGCAGCTTTAAGTAATTCAGCTGAAACTGGAGAAAAAAAATCAGCTACAGCTTTAACCTTTGACAGTTATGTCCACTAATGTTCTTTGTCTAGACCAACTAGAAACCGCTTTGTTTTCCCCTCCCCTCTGGAGCAGGAGCTAAAACATCTGGTTCAACTTGTGTAAAGTGGTGATACTCCCCTCCCCCTCTCCGTAGATTAGGTCAGAGGTCACGCAGAGAACAGACTGAGAGCTCAGTGAAGTGGAAGCCGGTTGTTCCAGCTGAAGGTTTTGTGTCAAAATAACACCCTGCTGTCTACCTCTGAGAGGGAACAGCATCTGTCCTAACACTTGTTTTAAAATGGGCAGTTTCTCATAATTTATTGCTCTGAAGACTCGTGTTAGGTATAATAGACGTGTATCCTGAGGCGCAATAACTGAACAAATGAAATAATAAAGCAGGCGTTTAGATTGTGACACAAATGTCCTTTTAATAGGAAGCAGATCACAATCAGGCTGCATTCC